AATTAACACAGGTAGAATAAAACTAACTAAACTAATTAATTATAAAGACAAAATAGAAAATATAAAGGATTCACATTGGGTCCGTGATCCCAACTACAAAAAGAAATTAGCCAGACATATCTGACTTTAGCAAATTAAAATAGTAAAAAGAATTCATAACAAAGAAAGAAAAGAAAAAGATGAAGAAGAAAGATCAATGGTCTTTAATCTTCAAGTTCTCCGGAATCCTGATCTTCAGCGTGAGTCTCTTCCTCTGAATATTGTTGCCTCTGTAGAATTGTGGCTTTAAGTTTCCAAGAGATGCCTTTTTATAGGGATGAAAACCATATCTTTTAATTTTTCATCATATCTTCTTTGAAATCTTCACTAGAATCTCTAATCATATCTTTGATTCAATCTTTCAAATCTTTCCCTTTTTTAATTTAATGAAAAAATTTCCTTAAAAATATTCAAAGGAATATTTGATAAAATCTTCAATAATTCAGAAATCCAAAGCAACTCTACTTGATATCTCCCATTTATCTCTTTATTGAGCTGAAATTACTGCAAAATATCAGAAATCTTATGAGAATATTATTGGGAATAAAATAACAATTTAATTATAATTCTCATAACTTTTAATTACTTTTAAATCAGTTTCATGCTCATATTGACCTTTTATACATAGTAAATTGGAGACTCATCAGTTATTAAACTTAACTAATATTTACCATTTATTTTTTCTCTTGAGATTCTAATTTAACAGTAGGCATGAAAAAAGTTTGGTAGAATAACCTATATATCCCTATTTAATAATATAAAATCACCTCAGAAAATAATAATATAAAAGCATTTTAATATGCTCTGAAGAAGAATTAAAGTAAGTAGGCCATACATTAAATCACCCAAAGTGATTGTTTGTCATAAATATCAAATATGTTGTCATTTCAAACGTGTTTAATGTATGTAGACTTTCCTTGTATTGAATAAAAGTTTAAAAATCACTAAAATAACGAATTCTGTGAAAATTGCATTGAAAATTATAGTTAAAGCAGGGTTTAAAGGTATGAGTTTGAATTCTGTGAATATTGTTTTTAATGTTATTTATACGAATTTTTGTGGATTTCCATTAAAAGGATAAACCCTCGCCTATCCTAAATTACTATATAAGTTTGTTCGGTTATAGTAGAGCTTGCCATTGCTAATCGGAAGCACGAGCTAGGGAAATTATCTGAAATTTAGAGCATATTATTGTGCTCTTAGATATTTTCTAGCTTAATTAGTCAACCTTTTGCCTAAAATTCAAATCCTTTTAATTTTCTGCAAATAAATAGATTAAATAAAATAGCAAAGATGTTTGGAAAGTGTTCACTGATTGTTGTCATCATATCCATTTAATTTTGAAAGTGATATTAACACGTTGCATGTCCTACCGGCCAAATAGGGTCAAATTTGAGTCAAATACGTTATAAACAAGCCTAAACTTATTCTTTTCTTTGTTAATTATAGCTTTTTTTTTTTTTTTTTGTCAAATAGAACCACTTAATAAGCAACATGTTGGCAGTTTTCATTGGTTAAACAAGGTTGAATTCTAGTTGTTCAAGTAACATACGTACCCAACTTGTTTTGATTCCATTGAGGCCCTCTATTGTGAGGTCATGTCCCTAATTTAAATTATATATATGCTCATATTTAAAGTTGATAGATTTTAAATTGAATTTAACAATAGCCAGTAAATTGATCTTTATTTGTGCTGTTAAACATGCAAACCATTCTTCAATTAACAACACATCAGTATGACTATTACCCATCAATATCTTGGCCTCAATTTAGACTCACCATTTGATTTGCAATTCTTGAATCCAAGAAGGAAATTATGTATATGTTTCGGTACAACAGAAAATGACGTATAAACGAAAGCTTTTTTGAACAATTATATATATATATATATATATATATATATATATATATATATATATATATGGGTTTTTGTTTTGTCCTTTAATATGATACAAAAATTTTTTCTACACACACAACATTTTGTGGGGTCCACACTTTTTAAAACAAAAAAAAAAAAAATCTAAGGCACACAAAACGAATTTCTATAATATTACACAATCACCTTTCCTACAACATAACTCACTTTTCCTACAACATAACTCTTATAAATCCATATATATATATATATATATATATATATATATATATATGTGGAACCAATGCACTCCATGAAAAGAATATAAAGGTTCAACGATTTCGATGATAACAAACAAGCATGGAAAGAAAGCTTCAAGGAGCAACCATCAAAAAGAAGTCTAAACAAAATCAGACTCAAGCTTCAAGAGACGTCACTAAGTCCAAACTCAGAGTAATATACTGTAGGACTTAGGATTATTTGTAAATTGATTCTTTACAAGAATAAAGCTCAAAGTTTTTTTTTTAAAATACATGCATTAAATCAGCGTTTGACATTCAAATACATTCTTAAAATGAAAACATACTTTTCAATGTTCAAACAATATTTGAAAATAATGTGAATCAAGAGAAAACCATTTTAGGGCAAAAACCAACCTTTCAACAGGTTGGTAATCGATTACCAAACAATGGTAATCGATTACCCTTCATGGTAATCGATTACCCACTCAATGGTAATCGATTACCTACTGTACAGAGACAAAAATAACGGCTATAAAACGGCTAGTTTGCGAAAATGAGTAGGAAAAAGGCCATGGGGGCCCTCTAAAATAGATACTACTGTTCCCATTGATGGGACACAAATATTGATCATCATTACTCATTAATTCTCATCCTATTTGCCTTATTCTTGTCTTCTTGATCATAAATCCTATTTGAGTCTTATTCTTGTAAGAGTGTCATATACCCTTGTTCTTCAACTTGTGTTATTTGTACTTTGAGAGTACTTAGCCATTATTAAACATCTTCCTTGATTACTTGAGTAGCTAGGGGAGTGAACCCTACACACTTGAAAGGTCACCAAATTCTTAAGAAAATTTGGAGTGAAAAAGTGTAAGGCATCAAGAGCCCGAAGTCTTGAAAAGTTGTAGTGGTTTGTCAAGCACCCTTAAGCTTGATAGTTAGTGAAAAGAATTGATCGAGCGGCTTCAGTCTGGACGTAGGTCACGGTGGTGGTGACCGAACCAGGATACATCTAGTTTGCAATCTCTCTAACCTTAATCTCTTTATTTGAGTATTAAAATTGCATCTTAGATTGTCTTTATATATTCACTTGCTTACTTTGTTGATCACTACACTTGCTTTTACTATTAGACACTTCTTTATTAAATCACTTTATTGAAGAAATAATCTGTAAAACATCAAAGGAGGTACTTTGCGAAAAGATTTTGTAAAACTCAATTCACCCCCCTCTTGAGTATTGAAGCCACCTGTCCAACAATATATATATATATATATATATATATATATATATATATATATATATGATCGGTAATACTTCAATCAAGAGTGTATGACCGATTATACATAATGTAATTTGTAAAAAAAAATTGTAAATAGATATGACCGATTATACATAATGTAATTTGTAAAAAAAATTTGTAAATAGATACTTTATATATATATATATATATATATATATATATATATATATATATATATATATATATAGGGGGAGGATCCACTTACCACCAAAAAAGTTTACAACTCTTACAACCAATTTAATCACCGTTGATTTTCGTCAATCTAACGGTTATAATTTATTGGAAATTAATAAATGTGACACAATAAATATTATTAATTTATAACCGTTAGATTGACGGAAATCAACGGTGATTAAATTAGTTGTAAGAGTTGTAAACTTTTTCGGTGGTAAGTGGATCCGTTCCCATATATATATATATATATACCTTTTATATTTCAATGTCCATTTCTAATAATTGCACACAAAAAATATGATCAAACTTTGCTATCATTTTAGGTACCTACTTTCTGTCACATTAATTAGGGGATGTTGACCTATTATAACTTGCATCGTCCCAGATGTTTATTTTGGCTGCTCTGTAATAGATTTGCTAGTTCTTGACAAATAAGCCTAAACCTTATCTTATCTATGTCAAACTCCTCATAATGGAAAAAATGGCGAGTAATCTTCAGTTTGCCAAACATATTTTTAACAAGAATCAGTTATCATAGATTGAAGATTTTAGTAAATTAAGAATGTTAATATTCATCAGAATTTTACATTCAATACCTTATATAATATAATTTTATCTGATTTTAAATGAAAAATAGATGGGGGCTGTTTAAACTTATAAGACAACACCACTTATATAATTGTGCAGAGTAGAGAACACAAGAATTATGTATCTTTATGTTGGTCTTCACTTCACTTAAATATCAGAGCAGGTTAAAAGAAAAAAAAAGCTACCCTACAGAGGAAGGGGTGTGGCTAATATGCAAAATCGTAGCAATCATTCCTATGCTTAAGGAGGGCCATAGTCCTCTCCAACATGACACAAATTACTGGTTGGATTAGGTCGGCAACCCTATACCAGACAACACAATATCTCAAAATCAACTGTCCCCGCCAGAATTCAAATCAATTTTTTGGTTTTCTTTATCATATAAAAAATAATCAATTTTGGAGGCCATGATATAAAGTATAAACAAACATTAGCCATTACCAGTCGTACGTATGAGATCATCACTTTAAGTCTTATCCACTTGAATTCAAAGAGAAGATGAACTATTAAACTTTACTTTATGGGTTATGTTTATCTCATTTTACATGAGATAAACATCTCTCCTACACACACAAAAAAGGTTGGGTCCCACCACTTTTTTTTTCTCTCTCCTCTTACATGTGGGTCCCACTTATACTTTTATTTCTACAACATGAGGTAATTCTTTTCCTACAACATAAGAAAAATATATCCCTTACTTTATTATATATATATTTATATATATAGATAGATAGATAGATAGATAGATAAATATAAAAAAAATCTTTGCGTTCGTCCTAATTTTCTCAAAGGAAGAGAGAGAAGGAAAGTTCTGAAATTGAACTCCAATTGCTTTCTCAGCAACTCTTACTTCATAGAAAATATAGGTAGGGGAAGTTGGCCAACGGTTAACTTCCTTATGCACCTTCTGAGTCACTTGTAATCAAAGCAAAGTTCAGTAGTTGATTCTTGGTCACCGTCTGAAACTCAAACTTCACCTTCCTGACATATCCTTCATACCAATCACCCCCTTCTCTTGTTTCTCCCAATCCTTCTTCTATATTATATACACTTCAGCTCCATCACTTCTGCTTCATATTCACCTCCATCTATGAAACCCCCCCACTTGACTTTATCACCCACCTCTAAGTTAAAATCTTTATGTTCATTATGCTATTGCTGAAAGGTTCATGTCCTTGAAGCCTTGGTTTGTAATATTAGTTTGATTTTGTTGCCAAGTTTTTGAGCTGGTGGTGCAGACCCTGAAAAGCTGACAAGGTCCAAGGAGTTTTCCAATTGGAGTCTTAAATTTCAATTTCTCATGATATAAAAGCTGTTGCTTTTGTGGGGTTCAGAAATATTGGAGCTGATTTCAATTGTTAGACAAATTCTGTTGCTGAATCTTCTTCTCATGTGCCTTCAAGAGATGGTATTTTAAATTAAGCATAGTGAAGTTTCTTGAATGCTTCTTATACCTTTAAATTATTCCTCTTAAACTTCAACTAAGTTGGCTCTCTCCAATTCTTAATGCTATGTTCAGTATTAAGAATCAAAGAAGACTTGGTCTGTAGCACACGTTTTTCAATTTTGGACTAATTCTGATCTGAATATATAGGGGCAAAAAGGGGGTATCCTCTATTCATGTTTTGGAAAGTTGTAAACTAGAATTAATTCCAAAAACTACATTCCAATGAGTTCTCCATGTTCATCAGAGTTCTTGGTCAATTCAAGAAGCATAGTATCATTTCCTTCAAACTCTTCAGCAGGAGAAGACAACATGGCCAGTGATCAAAACAGGCCTCCTCATGCCTCCCCACCTTCATTTTTGACTCGTGTGGCCATGAGAATATCTAGAGCAAGATGGTTCACCTTCTTAAGAAGAGTATTCCATTACCAAAATGGACCAAGATCTAATCTTGGTTCTAACCCTTTCAATTCTAGCACATGGATGATGCTGGAGTTGATTGCTTTGATGGTTCAGGTCACTAGTACAACATTCACTTTGGCCATTTCAAAGAGCGAGAAGCCTATTTGGCCTATGAGGATATGGATAGTAGGTTATGATATTGGTTGTGTCCTTAATCTGTTGCTACTTTATGGCCGCTACCATCAACTTTATGTGACTCAAGGGGATGCTCTTACCCTTTCTGATATGGAACAGCAGAGAAACAATGAAGAAACCAGGTACCCTATTCTTTTCACATCAAGAACTTCCTTTCAGTCATTTTGTCCATAGCAATTGGTAGTACTTATTATGGACCAATGTAATGGCCCTTTTTTGGAAAGGTAAAAACCTTTTTATTTTATTTTTTTGGATATGTAAAAACTTTTTTATAAATTAAGGGTTAAGCTTACAGGTTTCTCTCTGGAAATCTTAACCCTTATAGTTTGTCACTATCCGTACAAACACAACCCCTTTAACTTCTAGCCCCTTTTTTGTGCACAATAATCTGCTACCACACGCAGTTGTTTTCCCCATAAACACCGCTTGCTCACAGAGCTAATAACAACCTTAATCTATTAGTATCATACAATACTAATAGCTTTTAGTCTAATCATATCAAAATTCAAAACTAACCGTTGAATGAGATAGTGTTAGAACAGAGTAAATTTTGTTTTTAATTGCAATTTAAAAAATGTGACTTAATTTGCTTTGTACTATACAGTGTGTACAGGAGCTCACATTTGATGGATAAATGCCGGAGTTCACTAGAGCTTTTTTTTGCAATATGGTTTGTGATGGGCAATGTTTGGGCTTTTGACTCACGTTTTGGTTCTTTTCAACAAGCTCCAAAACTCCAAGTGCTCTGCATCATCCTCCTTGTTTGGAATGCAATTTGCTACTCTTTCCCTTTTCTACTATTTTTGCTATTGTGCTGTTGTGTGCCACTAATTAGCACCCTCCTTGGATACAACATGAACATGGGTTCCTCTGCTAGAGGTGCTTCTGATGATCAAATTTCACAACTTCCAAGTTGGAGATATAAAGTGCTTCATACCAACAACTTAGACCATGCCAATGACTCAGAAAGCAGTCAAAGATTGATCAATGAAGATCCAGTAAGTGACATAACTATTATATCTGCAGAATTAGTAATGCTTTGTTTTATATGTACATATATATGGTTTATTTCTATTTATACTTTTATATTGAATTGATAAGTTATTGCTGTTGGGTGTGCTGACAGGAATGTTGCATTTGCTTAGCCAAGTACAAAGACAAAGAAGAAGTTAGGCAATTGCCCTGTTCCCATATGTTCCATCTAAAATGTGTGGATCAATGGTTAAGAATTATATCTTGCTGCCCTCTTTGCAAACAAGGATTGCAAAGGTAGCAATAGCACATGCCAGACAATAGTCAAGAACATTAATCTTTATATACTCCAATATATATATAGACACATACACGCATATATTATACTCCCAAAGTTTTTTTATTTTATTTTATTTTTCATTTTGGTTACATGAGTGAGTTTGTACATGTACAGAAGAGGTCACCAGTAACCAAAACTACATTGTATACTTGGTTCGTAGGTGTGAATCCCTACTTTTCAAATTAGACGTTTGCATGTATAAGATTTTTTTTCTTTTTTTCTTTTCCTGTTTCTAAATATTGTGAGTTGAGCATCGGTGTAATAATGAAGCAAATATTATATTTGATCCTTGATTCTTATACAAAGATTTATAGTTTGTGTTACATGTCATCATCTCAATCAACATTTTCTCCAAAACCAAGCTTATACAATAAGCTAATTCTTTTATGGTAAGTATCACTTCCCCTTCTTTTATAACATTTTAGTGTTTGACTCAATAGTACCAAACCGAACTATAGATCTTTGAAGCAAATGGGTATAACTATGGATCGATTCAGTTTTTTAGTGAAGCAATTGTACAATCAACTCAGTATCAAATTGATGAACTGGGTATAACTCGCGGTCTAACAGATACCAGTTTTTGAAATCCAATTTTTGAAATTTTTAATAAGTTATTTTAAGTTTTGCATTCTATAGCAATCAAACCCATAACCTGTTGGGGCTTGCCAGCAACACTTATCCGTGATTAAGCAAATGAAGCAATCTTATATGTTCTGAGTTATCTAACATTTAAACATTCAAAATCAAATTAATCAAATGAAGATAATGCACAAAAGAGGTTCAAGTATATCAACCTAGAAAATAAAAGAAAGAAATAAAAGTTTCAACTTCAATTGAATACAAAAAGACCATAAAGCCTATTACAATCATGAACAGAGATATGTAGGAGGTTTAGCCAGATCCGGATCCTCTACAATTTCTTAAAAACTGTGTACAGTGTTAATCTTTAAAAAAGTGTTATTTTATGGTAAAAGAATCATTATAAACACAACCCAAAAATTGTGAAGCATTGGATATGCATATGATGATGAAGGATTTCTAACTGCTGGGAATGCCACTTTCATAAAAGTCGATGGGGTTCTCTTTGGAAATTAAGTTGTTTTTCTTTTTTGTGATGAGTGAGAGTGAAATCATTCTTGATGGTGAAGGTTTCACATATCTCCTCTACGCTCTTCTCATTTATCATATTTGCTATACTCTCCAATAATAGATCCTGCAGACTCTTAATCTCAAGACACTCTGCCGCCTGAAAAAGAAACAAGAAAAATAAAAATAAAAATTAATAACCACAAAATTAACAAGAAAGAAAGGCAAGAAAGACTGAAAAAGAAAACAAGTCTTGAATCTTGATTACAAAACCGAAACCGGTTTGACTTATCAAGATAGGATGTGTATATGTATATGTGTGTGACTTACCATCATCAAATCATAGAGGGTGTTGGGGTCCACATTGGCGAACTCAACGTCCCACTTCTTTAGAGCATCCTTCAAGTGCTCGTTCTTGTTGTAAGTGTGCATGAAGCAATAACGGATTACCTTGGTGAGGGTCTTCTTGTCAACGTTCAACATAGGAATCTTAATTTTATTGAAGCAGCCATCATGGATCATGTTCTTGATGACCTCAGAATGAAGCATAACCTCTTCCTCAACCACGACTATCTCTTTGTCGGAGCTACACACTACGATCTTCTGCCACGGCGCAGACATTATATATACAATATCGATGGCAAAGAATGACACAGTTGCAAATAATGAAGGGGTTGTCTGTCAGTGTATATATAATGTTGGCCAGTGTAGTGTCTACTGACTGATGGAGAATCAAATTAGGAGTTGTGGAAAGGACTTAAAGATACTATGTATCAAGAATCGCGATAAGATTTGATATTACCGATAAGTGGGATATTGAAAGATAAGCTTTCAAGTTCTTGCTTGCATTATCATCTTTCTTGGTGCAAAAGTTTTGCCATATTAATATTCAAATAATTTTTAACAATCAATATCACCGTTAGATCGATTATGTTGATCTAACGGTTATATTTATTTCTATGTTGTATGATCATGATTTTTTAAATTTAATACTTTATATTTATTTCCACCTTTGTATGGTTATGATTTTTCATATTTAATGCTTTCACTTTAAACATGAGAAATCATAACCATACAAAGATAAAAATAAATATAACCGTTGGATCAACATAATCGATCTAACGGTGAGATTGATTGGTAGTAATACAACTTGGTTGTTACAATATCCTTCCTCTTAATATTCAAATAATTTTTTATTTCAAAATTTCTGCTGATATTACATTCAAACGAAAAATAAATTTGACTTTTTAAAAAAAATATTTCATAAGAACTACTTTTTTGAGAGGTGGCACATCCATACACACACACAGAGAGAAAGATATGCAGAATAAAAGCTTTTTTTGTTGATTCTACCATCTCTGATTTCAGGTTAAGCCGTTATTTTACAGCACTGCCACAAATGTTGAGATTGAGTTGCCTGTGCCTGTTGATGCAACTAATCCAAATGTTCGAACTTCAATGGGATCTGCATCATATGCACCTGAAAAAGATGCATTAATCTGGAAAATAAGATCCTTTCCTGGAGGCAAGGTATTAGTTCAGTTGCAAATGGCATTGAACACTTGAATAACACCTATCTTGATACCTCAATTTGATTGTGATTTATTGGATTTGGTTCTCCTCTTTGGTTCTTTCAGGAGTATATGTTAAGAGCAGAGGCTCGGCTTCCCAGTATAACAGATGAGAGGATGCAGCTCCCGAGAGAAAAGCTCCTATACGTGTGAAATTTGAGATACCATATTTTACTGTTTCTGGAATACAGGTATTGCTGCATAAATGCGGTTTCCTTATATTCGGAATATCTTTAGGATATTTTTTCAGCATTCGAAATAATATTTTCTTCCATTAATGTTTCTATCTCTGTCTGATTAAATTTAGGAGAATATTTCCTTTAAAAGTTATTCTGCTCTATAAAAATCAAACAAAGTCAATTTTGAAATCAATTCTTTTACAATCCATCCCAAAAAGGCAATTTTCCAACATTATTTATTGTGTGTGTCTCTATGCTGTTTTTCCAGTTTGGATTTTGTTAAGTGTCTCTATGCTGTTAGAGATTCAGATTCTACATATTGCAGCTCACAAAAGTGATGCAATTTGTCTCTTCATTCTTTTCATGGTAATTGAATCCCCAATTGAAATATATCCTCGATCTCATATCCTTTTAATGAAGTTGTGAAAGACAGTGAGTGCATCATCATAGTGAAAGAGGAAGAGCAATTGGGTGTTATTGGCTACAGTTGAAATCAACTCCACTTACCCATGGCTGGCTTCTAGAGGTTGTTCAGAGGTAACGTTCTCTTATCTTTGTCTTTTTTTTTTTTTTTCTATTCTTTTGTTTGGGTTTGCCTTTTTTTTGGAGTTACCCAACCCTAATTATCTCTTTTGTTTGGGTTTGCCGGCTATGAGACTAATCCGGAGTGCGAGGGAACAATGATGGCTAAAGGTTCAGCTCCCTCCCCAATATTCAGTTATCCAACCCCACTAACTTTTGAGCTGCACCCATTGGGTTTGTTTGGGCTTGCCTTGTGAATATGTTCTATTTTTTTATTTTTCTTTTGACTAACGAAATTAAGGGGGGTTTACTGTTGCTGCTCTTGTTAATGCCTTTGTGTCTATAATTTTTGAATTTTAAACCTTGTGTTGGAATCATTAATTATTGATACTATAACTTTCCCAAAATTCTTTCAATAAGCTATGCTAAATTGGCAAAGCATATCAAAGATGATTACAATGATTTAGCTCCCCTCCTGACCAGAAAAAATAAAAAAATAAAAATAGTGTGCTTAGACTGCTTATATCTCATTTTTGCATGATGATTTTACTGATTTCTTTCATAAAATATTGAAGGTTGAAAACTTCCTAGTTAATACTAATTATATCATTTATTATTTTTATTCAAGGTTAAAAACTTCCAAACTTCAATTTCAATTTCTCAATCAATGTCATTTACTATTTTCTTTTAAGGTGAAAACTTTGAAATTCGAATTACACAATCAATGCCATTCAAGGTTGAAACTTTGAAAACGTCACAATTAATACTAATTATATCATTTATTATTTTCAGTCAAGGTTCTGATTTCATTCAAATTTGAAATTTGAAATAGATTTATGCAATTTTGTGATCCTATTTCTGAGTTACTTGAGGAAAAAAAAATCCTTAATAATTTTATATATATATTAGTGCAACGCAAATCCAACCCTCTCAATGCTAATTCTGCATAGTGCGCCCTATCTCTCTACAACCTTTTTCTCTTTACATTTGACCATGTCTTCTTCTTCGTCTTCTTCTTCCTCTTCTTCTTCTTCTTCTTCCTCCTCCTCTACTTCTTCTTCCTCTTCCTCTTCTTCTTCTTCCTCTTCTTCATCTTCTTCCTCTTCGTCTTCTTCTTCTTCATCTTATGAGAAGATGATAAAATTGCGTAGTTCAGAGAAAGACATGTTTGAGGTGGAGGAAGCGGTGATAGTTCAATCGGTGACTATCAAGAACTTGATTGATGATAATTGTGGCTCCTCCTCCTCCTCTTCTTCCTCTTATTCTTCCTCTTCTTCTTCTCTTCTTTCCTCTTCTTCTTCTTCCTTCCTCTTCTTCTTCTTCATCTTATAAGAAGATGATAATGTTGGGAAATTGTACTCCTCTTCCTCTTCTTCTTCCTCTTCGTCTTCTTCTTCTTCATCTTATGAGAAGATGATAAAATTGCGTAGTTCAGAGAAAGACATGTTTGAGGTGGAGGAAGCGGTGATAGTTCAATCAGTGACTATCAAGAACTTGATTGATGATGATTGTGGTGACGGTGTTATTCCTCTTGAGAATGTCAACAGTCTCGCCCTCGCAAAGGTTCTTGAGTATTGCAACAAGCATAATGCAGAGGAGTCCCACGATGACAACAACAACATAGAAGCTCTCAAAAAATGGGATGATGAATTTGTTAAGGTGGATCAACACACCCTCTTCCTTGTAATGATGGTGAGTGCATCTAAATATTCACATCCACATATATAACATTTCTCTCAACCATTTGATATCGATAATGTTATAGTTAGTGAATGGTTTTTAATCCGTCGGTGTATGCTCCTAATTTATTATCTCAAGATAAAAAATTAAAAAAAAAATTCCCTAATAAGGGTTAACATAATTGGTAATTTGGATTTGATTTTCAATTTTTGCTTCTTAATAAGTTATATTTATTTTTATTTTAAATTCTCAATTAAGTTGATGGTCGTTCTGATTTGATATTGGGGGTTTGTGTCTCCCTTAATTTAAATTTTCATGTAAACAAAATCACTTCCCATAAAATTTTAACTTTATAAGTGAGACTCTGAGAGTGAAATTTGCAGTGAGGCAGACTCTTAACTGTTATCCTCATATCTCATATGTAGATATATTTTTTCTGAGTGTGTTCTTTTTTTCAATGTATTTTATGGAATTTGATTTAATTATTAAACTTGATTTTGGCAGAGATCAATGAAATTATTTCCATACCATTCAGTTATTAAGAAAAATGAATAATCAAGAAAGCGCAAATTTTAACCGAAGAATCAGTACTTTGCTAAAATTAAAGGTGAAAAAGGTAAAAATCCATGGAATTGCGTAAATTAATACATATCTGTAATGTGCTATATCTTCGTTTTTTCTATCCTAATTTTTAGAAATTGTGTTGTACTTTATGGAATCTAAGTTTGGATTAGGGATTTGTATATTTTAGAAATTTTGTCATGTATGTTTATCAATATATATGAGGCAGGATCCTTTAGAACCAGTGTCAAATTTAAAATTTAACACCTCTTCTAAGAGTCTGTTGGATCTTAGCATCTTAGCGTTGATGTGCTGTTTAATCAAAGTGCTTTTATAGTATTGTTAATTTGTGGTATATTTCTTTGTCAGGCGGCAAATTATTTGAAAATTAAGAGTCTGTTGGAACTGACATGTCAAATTGTGGCAAATTTGATAAAGGATAAGAGTCCAGAGGAGATACGCCAATACTTCAATATAAAGAATGATTTTAGTCCTGAAGAAGAAGAAGAGGCCATAACTTCAAAAAAAAGAAAAAAAATTAGTCCTGGAGAAGAAGAGACCGTAACTTCAAAAAGAAGAAAAAGAAGAGGCCATTCGGAACGAGAATAGATGGGCTTTTGAGTGAGATTGATGCATGTGTTTCCGAAGGGTTTATGATATAACATTATCGATAATAGGTCTTTTGTTTTGTTTTCCTTAGTTACTACATTGTTCGTTTTCTGGTAGATTCATTCCTTGAAGCATTAATATTGCTAGTTTTTGTTTTCGTATGAGCTCTTATCTATATAAAATCATGATTCAGTCAATATCATCACCATGTATTTTTATTTATTTACTGGAGTAGATGAATCTTAGATTAAATAAACTGTAAGAAATTAAGGTCACACAATCTTAGATTGTTCAGAGGTAACGTTCTCTTATCTTTGTCTTTTTTTTTTTTTATTTCTAATCTTTTGTTTGGGTTTGCCTTGTGAATATGTTCTATTTTCTTTATTTTTCTTTTGACTAACGAAATTAAGGGGGGTTTACTGTTGCTGCTCTTGTTAATGCCTTTGTGTCTATAACTTTTGAATTTTAAACCTTGTGTTGGAATCATTAATTATTTATACTATAACTTTCCCAAAATTCTATCAATAAGCTATGCTAAATTGGCAAAGCATATCAAAGATGATTACAATGATTTAGCTCCCTTCCTGACCAGAAAAAATAAAAAAAATAAAAATAGTGTGCTTAGACTGCTTATATCTCATTTTTGCATGATGATTTTACTGATTTCTTTCATAAAATATTGAAGGTTGAAAACTTCCTAGTTAATACTAATTATATCATTTATTATTTTTATTCAAGGTTAAAAACTTCCAAACTTCAATTTCAATTTCTCAATCAATGTCTACTATTTTCTTTTAAGGTGAAAACTTTGAAATTCGAATTTCACAATCAATGCCATTCAAGGTTGAAACTTTGAAAACGTCACAATTAATACTAATATATCATTTATTATTTTCATTCAAGGTTCTGATTTGATTCAAATTTGAAATTTGAAATAGATTTATGCAATTTTGTGATCCTATTTCTGAGTTACTTGAGGAAAAAAAAATCCTTAATAATTTTTTATATATATTAGTGCAACGCAAACCCAACCCTCTCAATGCTAATTCTGCATAGTGCGCCCTATCTCTCTACAACCTTTTTCTCTTTACATTTGACCATATCTTCTTCTTCCTCCTCCTCTTCTTCCTCTTCTTCTTCTTCTTCCTCTTCTTCATCTTCTTCCTCTTCATTTTATGAGAAGATGATAAAATTGCGTAGTTCAGAGAAAGACATGTTTGAGGTGGAGGAAGCGGTGATAGTTCAATCGGTGACTATCAAGAACTTGATTGATGATAATTGTGGCTCCTCCTCCTCCTCTTCTTCCTCTTATTCTTCCTCTTCTTCCTCTTCCTCTTCTTCCTCTTCCTCT